TGGTTGGAAATCCTCTCTTTTGTTATGAATTTTCTGGTCAATTATTTGCAAGAATTTGATGTTTTATCAAGATGAAACCTTTACATCAATTTGTAAAACGGCACCACAGTTTCTTTGTAAACTTGCCTCCCCTGTAGTAGGAGGGTTAAATTTCAAGACGGTATCTTTTTTTTTGGTATGTTTTTTTAGTTCTTCTTCGCCCATCGAGTGCGCCACTGATGTTATGAAGACTTGGAGAGATAAGGAAGACTCCGAAGCTAGCATGGCGTCCCTCGAGAAAGCTCTGCGTGATATGGGACGAAGTGATATCGCAGATAACTTTAAACAACTTGCTTACAGCAGCTACTCCAAAGACCCTGTAGTTGTCGTGGAAACGCGCCATTTTTCCCCAAGCAAAGTGTCTACACAGAGCTCTGCCCCAGATAACCGCAGAATTTCTGAGTTCCTGGACTCAGTGGGTGAATCTGACGACATGTTTGGCGGTGACGAGATTGGCTCGCCTCGTCTGCAGCGCGCTTCAGTTGACGGGGAAGAGGTGTTCTCAGAAGTGAGAACCATAACAGTGGAAAGTTCACCCGAGCCAATCATAGAAGAATCTGTGATTGTCGTAGAGAAACACAGAGTCGTGGACGAAGATGGCAATGTTATCGAAGAAACCCAGAAAATTATTGAAGATGGCAACGAAGTGACGGAAGACAGAGAAAAATTGCTGCAGGATTTTTTCGCGAATGATAAAGGTGTCCTAGATTTCCTCACCAGCGACAAGGATGGCACAGTTGAAAACGGAGCAGAAGAAACCGAAATCTGAAGAGATGATTTAATGAGTAACGGAGCAAGACGTGAAATACATTTACGTGATAGGTTATGAATTAATAAGGGACAGTGGTTTGGTAAAGACTTAAGAGTCAAATGCACAGATAAAAGAGGAAAAATCTCCGCCTCTGGTGATAAGAGTTCTTGCAGATTTAATATTCAAAGCGCCTTGTTGTAAAGTTTTGTGTATGAAAAAGGAATTGTTGAGAATTCAAAATCTCGTTAGAGAGAGATTTTTAAACTGCAGCCATAAGCAAGATATTCCAGCTTGTGTTAAGTAGTTTTAATTCATTTCATTCATCATGCGAAGCATGTTTTACCATCCTTTGAATACGTTAATTCTTATCTCAGTCCTGAATATTTCAGCGTTTGCAGTTTTAAGTCGATAAGACGTGGCTAGGTTTAAGATATTTTTAAGTTTTAAGACGTCGCAGTCTTCATGTATTGGACTGTCACGCAATGAAGTGTTGCGTGACTCACCAGGCATTTTTTGCCATAATGGAGGATCATTTGGATTTTTGTTTTCTTTGCGATTTTATCGTAGTTTTGATTTTATCCCTTTCTTTTTTCCTCGCAGAAAAACGTGTTAGTGTAAATTAGCAAGCACAAGTTCTGTGAGGTGTGTCTGCTGTCTGATTGTTTGCCTGCTGAATTTGTATTTGCTGTCATCACAAACTGTTTCTAAAGAATTTAGTTGGACGTAGACAGGGCTACCTCAATTTAGAAAATCTAGTATGCTTCGTTAGACACAGTAAGTTTTCGGAAAATTTCTAACTATCGCCATTATCCGATCAGAAACGTCCTCGAAAACTCTCTTGTAGACTTCGTTGCCACACGGCCTATGAAAAGCAAATAGTGAGTTTAGATTGTGACTAGTTTTTGCCAAGCAAATTTAAGGATATTTGAGGGGAATCATTTCGGAAGTTGTGAGGTTCTGGTTTCCCTGAGAACGTAGCGCTGTTAAGTGGAGAATCTGCTCAAGAAATATGACAGATTTGTTTATAATTTTGCTTAGGTTTTCCTATTTTTCAGATTAAACCAACAGCCGGATATGGCTCTTAGCTAAGATAGCGTACATAAAATGGTATTCAAAATTTATAATACGAAAATAAACTGTCTGTACTCTACTTTTGTCATAATTGACATTAACCCCATGCCTCCCAAAAGTGATTAACATTTAACTTTTAACAGGTGACACTTTAGCAAACAGGTGGCGAGGGTATTCAAACTCATCAGGCACAAGTTTCCAAGTTTTGTTATTTCACACTGTTTACAGAAAAAAATAACTTAACATAACAGGATTTACAATGATGTGGAAAAAATACAAACAGAAATTAACTTGAAGAAAGAATATTTATTCGTGTGCAGTGACCAAAGTAGCCAATGAGCTTTCGAGTTGGTCACTGTCGTGTGTAAATATGAAACTAAGTTATTGCCTTGATTGAACAGCAAATTCGCGTAACCAATTTACAAGCAAATGTGTTGCAGCTAGAGGGGAGAATTAACAGTCAGATCTTGGGAGTTAAAAGGTAAAGAGTTGCAAAACCAAAGTAACCACAACTACCCATCAGAACAAGGATTAACGTTATCATTAACCCTTCAACCCTAAGAGTGATCAATATCTAATTTCTCCTCACAATATCACCCCTAAATCACCCATAAAGGTCACAAGAAAAAAGGAAATGATCACTTGCGATAGAAGTTCTAGATTGTTGAACAAATTCTCCTTGTCAGCACCTTAGGAAATGTATGGAGAATATGTCTATTGATGTTAGGGTGTAATGGGTTAACCAATGAGAACTCGAAATAAAAACCGCGAACCAGCTTGAAGCGCGGGAAAACGCCGGTGACCAAGTTGGGATTGGTTTTAAGTTTTGCATTTGATTGGTTGAGATGGTGTCGTGAGGTTTGTAGACCAATCACAGAGCGAAGAGGCAAAACCAAAACAAACCAAGATCGCTTTAGATGTTCAATTGAAAGCTACTCTATTTTGCTATGTTTCTTTGCCACAAGAGGTTGAAAGCTAACACGCGTTACTAGATAGTAACGCAAGGCGAAAAAAGAGAAGAATGGAAGGGAAATCGAAAATCCAGAGCCCTAACCAGAATGAAAGTGATGTCAGTTGCTTTTGGGATATTCTTCCTTTTGAGATTATTCTTGGGATGAAAGACAGCTCTTGAAATCCCGAAATATTTTACCCCTGAACATCAGTATGCATATTCTCTATACAAGAAGAATTTGTCTAACAATTAAGAGCTTCTTCAGTTGGTGATCATTTCCTTTATTCTCATTACTTTTATATTTGATTCAAGGATGATAATGTACGGAGAAATTAGAAGCCAGTCACTCAGGGGTAAAAGGTTAAAGTATCTCTTAGGAACACGCACGCGGTAGAGCAGACACGCGAGGTAACTTCTTCCTCGCGCGTGTCGGTCTAAATCTTTCGCACCTGCAGGCTAATTAAAAGCACTGTGAAACCACGCGTGAAACCACGTATGTAACCACGTCACCATTCCCGAAGACCACTTTTGTCCTCTTTATTCATATGGAAAATTATTTTTTCAATCACAGATCTTTAAAGAGATATGCTAATTTCTCATTGCGGACGTGACTCGGAGATAAAAGCTATTTACGTCAAAAGAAAAAAAGTATGAGATGTTTCCATAAATGGAACCCTTGAAGAAAAAAAAAGAAAGTTTCCCTAAATTGTGTTTGTATCTGAGAGCTAATAGCATCCATATGCCCGGAAATGTCTGAATACAGGTTATGTTTATGAAACCAAAAGTAACAAATGACACCTAAGCGATTCGTCTGTAATCTGTGAAGAAAGACATTTTTGAAGAAGGCTATCGACCTTTCGATTTCGAGGGGAAAAATTATTCAAATTGAATGGAGATATTGGTTCAGTAATCATTTTCGTTTTGATGTTGTCATGTAAATTGACAATAAATACTCCACAAAGAAGGAAACGTTTTAAAGTTCGAGCTTGGAAACGTGCTACAGGGCTGTCACACCATTCCCTTCTACGACAAAAAACACCTACTATTTAAAAATTCTTCCAATCGTTTTGGGCAATGCGCGCTAAGGGCATCATTTCGATCACAAACGTTGCCATAATGCACTTGAAAAGGGGAAAACTGCGTGCCAGGTCGGTCTTTTCACGAAACACTGGTCGGTTTTTACACGAAACACACAATTCCCGGTTGAATAACAGTGTTTTGGTACAAGGTCCGCTTTTCTACGAAAATAAATGCACAGCCTGGAAGCGTCTGGATTCGTGCAGGCTAAATTTAAATTCAGCAAGGTCATGTACAGACCAAAATTTCATCCAAACAAATAACAAATCTACAATTGTACAAAACTGTTTTAACTGCGACAAGAGACTCTGGTGTCGGGACAACTTCCGTGCGGTTTTCAACCTGATAAGCACAAAATGAGTCGGACAGGAAACCCTCAGAATTGCCACTGCTGAGCGATGAGGCTAAAATTAGGCTGGAAGCAACAGTTTTATTATTAACACCGAGGAGGGGATTTTCCAGATGAAAATTCCTTTGGCAGAATCGTTCTCCTTGCGGTTCGATGTGTCGCCTAACCATTTCTTTCAAAAACCGCACCGCACCCCACCACGCCCCACCCCACCCCACCGCTTTTCGTTCGTCTGATCTTCTACTCAAGCGAAGAACTTAGGGCATCTGAAGGGAAACGATACCCCTTTGACATCTTTTGCTGGATAAACATTCCCGAATCATCGTATACAACATTGACATGTTTAAGTGCTATTTTACGTTGATTGCACCTTCTAGTTTGCCTTCTCCTCAGTCCTCTCACGGCAGTTACATGAGTCACGTTACAGGAAATCTGCCGAGCGGAAGTGAAATTACAGTCTCAACTTCCGGTAGGTTGATTGGTGACCATTACTATTATTGATTGTTGTTTCCGGTGAGTTAAGGTCTTCCATTATCAGGATGACTGGTTACCAATCGGGCCTCATTCTGCACAATTAAAGCTTTTTTTACATCCTACGTCAGCCGAAGTTTCCTAACACTGCCAGAAGTTTCATAACAAAGTTCAGATAAATAACAGCTGCACTTAGGGACAGACAATAGTGATTGTTCCAATACATCACGTGCGCGGCGTCCCTTTTCGTTCCATATTTGGAGGATGCAGATCAACAAAGATTAGAGTCTCGTCTAACATGGCGGATGAGACTGCATTTTGCAAACACTTAAAAATTCTGCCTTTCTACACGCGTTGTTTATGATGCTTTCTCTTGAATTTACTACTTAAGCCATGGAAGAAGGCTACAAAAAAGTAATCGAACGAAATCGCGACAAATTTCGCCGCGCAGTTACAGTAGAGAGGTTATTTTCGCCTTTAGTTGTCAGCAATGTTGTGACTTCAGACGAGGCTCAAGCGATTCAAAGCGAGCATCCTACTCAAAGAGTGGACCGACTTTTGGATGTCATTCAGAGAAAAGACTATGAGAAGTTTAAGAAGTTCTGTGTTGTTCTGGAAACGACATACCCGTACATGTTGAATTGTATGTTTTTGGCAGTGGACCCTCCAACTTCAATTGGTGAGTAAGTTAAGGCGCCTGACCTAAAGTAAACAAGTCAAATCAGTCTTTCACATTAGTCTACGAGGATATTGAAGAATTATGGTTTCTTAGCTACACGTCCTTGCTAAAGCACTTCTTCTTGAAGCGATTTCTGTTGCTCGCAAATTATCTTGACGATACTGTATTAAAATTGGAAGTAACTGTTAAGATTTTTTTTTAATGTGGATATTTATGGTCAAGGTTAAGCTTATCAAGGGGTAGTTATTATGCCTTTAGTTCATGATGATCTCGCGTTTAGTTTCTTGCAAAATTTTTTTGACACTAATGACAGCGATTTTGCGAAAAAAAAAATTATGTATGCTTCGGCGGAAATATGGAGTAGCGTGATGCCTGAAAGCGAAGCCCGATGATGTTTGCACGCAAAATATATTTTTACGACGCAAGTCGATTTCGGGGAATCACTTATTTATACTAAGGCTGAATTTCGTTACATTTCTGCACGTCCGAAAATGAATTTAAGCTTCGTTTAGTTATGTAACAGCTCTGCCGAAAAAGAGGAAAACACTTTGACGACTTGTAAGTTGTTTGTCACTAGACAAACAGACCTTGAAACCACAAGTTCAAATCTTTTTTGTGCTCACGCCCGAAGCCACTTTTTGAGGATATAAGCCTACGTTTTCAGAAATTTTTCCAAGAGTTGTTTAGGGCAAAGGAAGTATTGGAAGCGATCATACCACTCTTATGGTGGCTTAGACTTCAAAAAGTTGCGATCGCAGGGAAGATAAATACATAATTGTTTAATTTGTGTTATCTTTCAGCTTCGTCGCACATTCGAACTGATCAAGGAAAAACTACAGATGGTGATAGTGATCCACCGCGGCACATGCAATGTAAGTTTTTTGCTGTAGAAAGTTCACATTCATTTACAATTAATTGTGAATTGTATCGCAATCGAAGCCGTGTAATAATGTTTCCTTGTATTTAACCCCTGTGCCCTGCGGTATAAATTCGATCTCGCGCACACAAAGAACAAATATGATTGTGTTGGCCCTGTTCCCAGGGGCGACTTACCTAAAAACAATCAATCAGAATGAAAAATAATCAGGGTTTTGTTTACAATTGCAAAGTTCCAGAAAGTGATATTTGCTTTTCTGTGTTTTGGCAACTCATCTGTGGGGACTTGAGGTGCAAATGAGCAGATTTTCTCTAATAATTCACAGCTTTAAAGTGAACAGTTATATTGGCTGATAAATCCGTGTGATTGACGTTGGGCAGCAGAATGAATGCTATAGTTATGTGGTGTTGTTTTTCCTGTCAGCCAACTGGTGAAACCTGATTTTCTTTGTAAACTTCAGTGCTAAACTTGTTTTGCTGTTATTTTAACCATCAAGTGGGTTCCTTGTTGGTTGTGTTTACAGTTCATTTCTTTATGTAACCAAATCATTGTTGATTTACTTGAGGAAACGCTTGGTTGAAATCAGCTCTTCAGAAATATTTTGTCAGATTTGAGAGTGTAATGTCTGCCCACATATCATAATTACATAACATAAAATCCTATTTTTAAATTACCATCTGTGGCAGGCCCTGGATCATCTCGACGCGCAAATGTGGGTCGTAGCACTAGTATGACAGGCCATGACCTTTGCAAAGATCGGCTCCATGGGTTGAAAAATGAGCTTAAAACTGTGAAACGGGACTTGGAAAAAGTCACCGCACAACTGCATGAATCTGAAGCAGAAAGGGATGCCTACAGGAAGTTAAATGACCTGAAAATTGGAGAAAGATTGCATATTGACAATAACTCTAATGTCCCTATTGGAAATTCCCAAGGCAGTGAGAGGGAGGAGGAGTTTATAAAGCTCAAAAAACAGTACGTAGAGTGCTTAAAAGAACTAGAGATGTTACGGTATCAGCATTCGGAAATGACAGATAAATATGACGCTGTTTGTCAACAGTGTGAAAGTGGCAGAAAATACAAAATGTTATTTCAAAGTTTACAGAGAAAATTTGAAGAGTCAGACCTTGAGCGAGAGAAGTTGAAACAGGAGTATGAGGAAATTGTATTACTTAGGGAAAGAGAAAAAATTGAACATGGTGAAATCAGGAACAATCAGAAATACGAGGAATTTCATTCTGGAAACACATCTTTTGATAAATATGAGTCACACAAAAAGGAGTTTGAAAATCTTCAAGATTCTCACCAAGACTTACGATCAAAATACAATCACATGTACAAAAGTTATCAGAATTTGGAGACAGACTACTCCACCCTTAAAATTCGGTATGAAGATTTGCTTCATGAGCAGGACTCGCTGATTGTGGAACGTAATGGACTGAAACAACAAGTTGAAGCAGCCATCAACAAGTACGACAAAGCTGTTAAGGATCGTGAAGCTGCTTTGAAGACTTCATATCAGGTTCAACAAGGGAGAGAACGCGAACGCGAGCAGGTCATGACAATTCAAATGAAAACTGCCAAAGATATTGCAAAGTTAACTGAAGAGAGAAATGCTGCGTTGAATGAATATCAACTGGTGATGAGTGAGCGTGACACAGTTCACCAGGAAATTGAAAAACTTCATGACGAGCTCACTAATCTGCAGAAAACTAATGAAAGCCTTCAAAAAGATTACTCAAAACTACAAAATTGTCTTCATGAGACGCAGGGGGAGCTGTCTCTCTTAATGGAGGAACGTGAACAGGGGTCGAAAGAGGTTTTTACTCTGAAAGAAAGTCTGAGCCAGGCTTTTTTGGAAAAGGATAGTGTTGATAAAGAACTGGAGAAAGTCCATGAAGAGTATGAAATGTTAAAACAGGAGAGGAATGTGGCAAGAAGAGAACGTAGTGAAGCAATAATTCACAGGGACAAGATTCTGAAAGAGTGTTTTGAAATTCGACAGAAACATCAGCTGGTTCTTAAAGGAGAAAATAAAGAGATGGATGCACTGAAAAAACAGTTTGAAGTGCTTTCAAATGAATTGACAAATGCTTTGCATGACGTAGAAGTTGTGAAAGCAAGAAGAGACTGGGCCATGTCTGAAAAAGACAAAGTCATACAAGACAGGGATTCTTTGAAAATAAGATTCACCAAGATGCAACACGAAAGAGATCGGGCTGTCAGTGACTTGGCCGAACTTCTTCATGAATCTGATGCCATGAAGAGAAAGCATGGTGAAGTTGTTGCAGAACTTTTGGAACTTCGAAGCCACATTGAGGTGCAATTGAATCGCGAAAACCTCTCACAAGAGCTTGTTTCTAGTAGGGATTCTGCAATTGACTCCGACTCAACAGTAAGCTATTATTCCTTATTTTTTGACCATGTACACCCTAAAATCAGAATGCAAATTCTCCATACTGTTCTCTATACATTTCCAGTGGTGCTTACAAGGAGAATTTGTCTAACAATCAAGAGCCGCTTGAGTTTGTGATTATTTCCTTAATTCTCATGACCTTAATAGTTGATTCAGGGGTGATACTGTGAGGAGAAATTAGATGCTTATCACTTCAAAGGGTGAAGGGAGTCAGAAAAGGCTGTAATTAAGTTTGAAAGTAAAAGGCGAGCACCAAATAGTGGGCAGCCGTGTTATTGTATAAATTAATTCTCAGTAAAATTTTTCAGGTTGGTTAAGTCCAAAGGAAGCTTAATTGCTTTAGTTAAAATTCAAATTTTCCTTGCAATCTCTTCCCTGAATCTCAAAGTGTAAGTGTAAGAAAATGATCACCAAATGAAGAAGCTCTTGATTGTTAAACAAACTCTCCTTGTCAGCACCTTAGGAAATCTATAGAGCTTAGTGTGGAGAATTTGCATTCTGATGTTAAAGGGTTAAAAGTTGAAGTATTGGTAAATAGTTGTTATTGGTGACACTGATACAGTTTTATTAATTTATTTGCAGGAATGGGAAACAGAATCAGTTGTCTTAGAAAGGGTGAGTTAATGATAATTATGATGTTATTTTTGTTATTTTTAACCATTTCACTCCCAAGATGTCATTACTAATTCTCTTTACTGTGTGCTACACAATTTTTATGATGTGAGTGTGGAGAATTTGAAATTGGATCAACAAATAATCCTATATGTGATGAGTTTTGTTTATTCTCTTTACTTTTCTGCTTGATATTGTTTAAAGTTGTTAGGAGAAATTCTACCTTGGTCACTCAAGTTTGAATATTCTCACTACCTGTTTGCTGGATAATGTATAAATGTGATATGGAGAAGTTACAAGTGGATCACTGTGGTTTTACATACATACATACTTTATTTATTCTAGAAGCAAACTATATATACAGATTAAAAAACTAAGAGAAAAAAGGTACCTCTAGAAAAGGAAGTTTGGAGGTGAACCCTATGTAAAAACTCCCTTAAAATAAAATAAATAAGTAAATAAAAATAAAATAAAAATCAAGATCTATACAATTAAATATTGAGGTACAATTTAAGTTTAGATTTAAAATGCTGAAAGCTATCAGCTTCCACTATATCACCTGGTAACTCATTCCATAATATGATAATCCTAACAAAACAATAACGTTTATAACAATTAAGTCTTGCTGGTTTGACATAGAGTTTGTATTGGTGATTTGCTCTCGTAGCTGGAGTTGTAGCGAAATCAAAAAAGTCTTCAAATTTTAAATGATAAAAACCAAAAACTATCTTATAATCTATATAATCTATATAATGTTATATCTATCTTTGTGTAGCTACCTGCTCTTATTGACAGTCCTGCTTTAAGGGAAGATCTTCTATTTCCTGGAAGGGCCAAATTTGTGTTTGCTCCAAAGTTAATTCACAATTTTTTTGCTCCAGATGAATCTCGACGATGATCTTGGCATTGCCATTGCTGGTGGAAGAGACACTCCTGCCATTCCTAATGACAGCTCCATTGTTATAACAAATGTTGCCAAAGGAAGCATAGCAGACGGAAAGTTAAGGTCAGTAAGATAATTATCTGTGGCTATCAGTGCTCTTAGATAAGAGCATTTAGGTCACCATTGTGAGAAGGAAACATTTTGGTGACTAAATTTCCAGAAAAAGTCATCATTTGATCATCTCTGTTTGGAAGTGATGTAACATACTATAGCAATTTTTGCCACTTGGTGGTTATGGGCTAAGGTCTAAATGACAGGGCAAGAAACTTTTCTTTTAACTCTCCCATCCCTTTGGATGTGCAGCATTAATTTTACTTGTCTGAAAAACAAGCTTACTTGTCTGGAAAACCTGATAACAACTGTGCTAGAAGCAGGGTTCACTTGGAAAAGACTTGTACTCTGCGCTTAAATATGCTGGCTGATAACTATTCATGTTGGGGAAGTTTAGATTTTGATTTTAATTGTTGGTTTTCAGGGTGAACGACTGTGTACTGAAGGTGAACAATATTGACCTGACAAACGTTGAGTACCGCACTGCTGTTCAAGCAATCAGTAGAGGAGAGGTTGTCAATATGGTCAGTGTTGATGATGTGTTAATGTGTTAGTGATAATGACTTCATGAAGTCATCCTCTTCACTGATTTTCCCTGCTTATCCAAGATCTTAATTACATACTGTAAATTCGTCTTACACTTTGCTTTATACCTTAAATGATTTTAGCAGTAAGAGTTGTGTTTTTTTTTAAATACATCCATGCTATAAATGAACTCCCAAGATCCAGTGGTTAGTTCTCCCCTCGAGCTGCTACATATCCCCTTGTAAATTATTCACGAGAATTTGGTGTTAGATCAAGATGACAACTTCCAACTTCCTGATTAGTTTGAGTTTTCTCCTAACCTGTTTGCTTTGTGATGTAGGGATATTAAAGGGAGAAGTTACAAGTCCATCACTTTTGGAAGTAAAAGGGTTAAATAATTTCTTAAATTATGAATTAAGATGTTTTCCATCTTGTCCCAAGTGTGGGCCAAAGAAAGAGGCCTCATGGTGATTTTGCATTTTGGCATTCAGATGCTCTACCATCAAGCTGCAAAGACTCTTTGGTTGAACTAGGCCGTTAGTAGTTTCATATGTTGCCAGAGGCAATCAATAATAGAATAAGAAAGACAGTTTTCTCTGTTATTTCATTACAGAATAATCTCGTTGTATTTCTTGTTGCAGACTGTCAAGAGGAAAAGGTGTTCAGGATCCAGGGCAGTGCTTCATCCAGTTAGTCTCATGCTGACAAACAATAAAGGTATAATTCTGCAACTGCTAATAATAATGATAATGACAATACTAGTAATAACCTGAAAGAACTAATGTTCCCTTCAGTAACAGTACTGATGCTTGTACCCCTGGACAGCTAATATCTGGGAAACTGGAATAAGCTCTTGTTTGTTCACTATGAAATGAATTCTCAAGTGAAGACTTTGTATAAGAAAACCAGCAAGCATGTTTGTGACTTTTTGTTTCTTGTTACTTTCCAGAGCTGGGGATCAGAGTTGACAGCACAAATCATATCAGTTCAATTATACCTGGCAGTGTTGCTGCAGAGGAGGAAGCCATTGCAGTTGGAGATAAGATTATTACCGTAAGAATCGTTTTGAATGACGTTTCATCAATAGAAGAGGGGGTTAACATGGTAAAGTTAGTGACGGAGGAGGGCAGGATTCTTCTCAGCAGTAAGGAGGTCACCATGGCAACCTAGCCACACTTCACCTCAGACACATTAGTGTATACACATGTGCTTACCTAAAAGTGAAAGGGGGGTAGGGAAACAGCAGGGCGGGAGGTGGAGGAGGGAAACAAAACAGGGAAAGCAGCAAAGGGTTAAGACACTTATGAATGCTCATTTCCTTCTTGTTTTAGATAAATGGCAAATCTATTGAAAACCTGACTCAGCCGGAGGTAGAGCAACTACTTTCAATGAGTTTAGTGAGCCTTACTCTGCAGAAACTGTCGTCAACTTCATCTCGACCACAAGTGCTTCAGTCTCTGCTGAACGAAGTCAACGAAAAGATCAACAGAGAAAATAACATCTGCCGTGAGGCAGAACTTACCAGGGAAAGGATAACAAATTCTGGCAGCTTGAATGAATTTCAAATGTCACAGCAGGGGTCATCCTCTGCTTATTATTCCGGGAAAAGTTCTCCTTTGCCTGATGACCAAATATCATCAACTCCAGAATCAATTTCTGAACCAGCCATTCATTCATTGTCATCTACACCTCTTTGTGGGGTTATTGGCGAAAAACAAACAGATTCCAGTGATTTGTCAACAGAGGAAGGAAGCGCGCCCCATCTTGTGACAACCACTGCGGGCTCAACATCGCGACCAAGAACATTTCAGAAAATCAGGTCTAGAACATCACAGATGTTCCCCAGTCCCCTGACAAAGTCACCTGGTCTATCAATGCCATTTCAAAAAGAGAGACCAGTGCCTCCTATGAGAAGTTGCTCTTATATGTCAGCCATCACATCACCCCCGCAAGGAGACTTGAATAATAGCTCACAAGAAGACAACATTAACGCCATGTCTCCACCACCAGTTCATTACCCATCAAAGTCCCACGTTATTCCTCGTAAAAAGAAAGATTCTTACTTCCGCAACGGCTCTCGTCCCCAGTCTGCACCCTCTGTGAGAAACTACCAGGTGGCTGGTAGCCCTGTGTCATCTAGTTTTGGACGTTATTCCAGTCATGAAGACCCTCTGGCGTTAACTCCACCCAAGTCAAGCATTTCTGGGCCTCCTGTGACAGTGGCAGTGCTTCGCTCCACCAGTGTCCCGTATTACACAGCCAAGAGTCACTCAGTACCAAGTTACGGCGGTGTCCCAGCGGTAAGTCAACAGTGCTTGCCAGTAAACTGCCGAAGTAAACAGAGAAACAGTAAACAACAGACGCATGTACACTCAGCTCCGCGCGGCAGACACAGCCGACAGGGTTCTTCTCACAGTACCGAGGGTGATGAACGCAAAACGCGGCATCTGTCTCTGTATGACTTTGAACCGCCTTCAAACGCTGAGAGCAAAGTTTACAGGATTAGTTTACCAACTTCAAGGTCACAGAGGACGCCTGGATACAGTAACGGCAGCAGCTCAGTGAGTTCAACACACTCGATTTCCTCAGGACATACCACCCCTGTAGTCATTCCTTCAACTCCAATTGTGCCAGGAACCGAGGAAAGCCCTGCATTGGCTTTTGACTTCAGTGGGCAGTTGGCCTCCAAGGAAGAAGATCCGTTAAACATGTAAGCATTCTATTTTTGACAGACAATTCTCTTTATTAGCTGCAATGCATTTTTTTTTAACTAGGGAAGAGGATTCGATGTGATTTGAAGAAGTCACTCTTTAACTGATAAGTACGTGTAACACAGCGATCAAACGAATGAAGGGGATAAGTTTCTATAGAAACTGTGGTGCTGCGTCGGTGGGAGTGTTTAGCAGGGAAGTTAGTATTCTCACCTGAGTTGATAACGTAAATTGGCCACCGTAAAGAGTTTCAAAACTGACGTTTCGAGCGTTAGCCCTTCATTATTCGCTCTGACGAAGGGGTAACGCTCGAAACGTCAGCTTTGAAAATCTTTATGGTGGCCAATTCACATTATCAACTCAACTGATAATACTAAATTACAGCGGTCAAACGTCGGGTTTACGGAAGTGGATCAATTTTGGCCGACCGTGCGCCAATTTCCCGCGCAAAATTTCAACGGAAAATATAGGAAACAACCACTTTCTCGCTAAATATGCGAAAAGTAAAATTATTATGTTCGCTGAATTCAGATGTAAAGGTGTAAAGGGTTGATAAATATTTGATTTTAATGCTTTGTTTTTTTTGTTTTTGTTTTTGCAGAGATTATGAGCCTCGACGAGTGTTTATTGAAAAGAAGGACACGCTTGGGATTTCCATCGCGGCTGGCTGTCAAGGAGGAGTGTTTGTTTGTTCAGTAAATGAAGGAAGTGTCGCTGCCAGAGCAGGACTCAAATATGGCGATCAACTGCTGGAGGTTTGTAGTTTGGAAAAATACTCTGCAGGATATTTTACTTGAATAATAGCGAGCAAGATTTCGTTCACAGATTTAAAAATTCTAACCACCCAGCAGAGCGTATTAAAGGACATCACAAGAAAGCACTGCTTTCTTTGATTTGAATTATCACACACTAGGGTTCCATTCATAGTATAAACCTTTTTGTAGAGAATAATAAACAGTACCAAATCTAAGAATTGCTCATGAGCTTTCATGTTAATAAAGGGCGTAAGTTTCTAAACAAACCGTGATGCTGCGTCGGTAGGGGAGTATAACAACATGATGTGGTTTTAACGATTGAGTTGATAATGTAAACTAGCCACCGAATGAAGAGTTTCTTAGCTGACGTTTCGGGCGTAAAACCTTCGTCAGAGCGGAACATTCGCTTGGCTAACGCTCGAAACGACAGACTAGAAGCTCTTAACGGTGCCTAGTTTACATTATCATCTCAGTTGATGAAAGCAAATTATTTCATTCGAACAGTCACACAAAAGGGGTTTATTCATAAACGGAAATATTAGAACCGCCTTAACCCTTTCACTTTAAAGATCTCAATAGTGATTCTCCTTACTGTCTGCCGTACAATTCTTATGGTGTTGGGTTGGATAATTTTGTATTGTATCAACCAATAATCCCCTAATTCTTTATTCTCATCTCTTATCTGCTTTATATTGTATTGATATTGTAAGGAGAAATTCTGTCTTGGTCATTCATGGGAGTTGAAGAGTTAACAGCTCGGTAGCTACAAGTTACGGGAATTGTCAAACTCTAGGGATTCATCTTCAGAGAAGTGTTTATAATAATCAAATTTCCTGTTTATTTTCGCAGTACAACGGCGTGAATCTGAGATGTGCAACTTATGAGCAAGCCGCCATGATTCTCAAACAATCCGGAAACAGTGTTACCATTCTAGCACAATTCAACCCAGAGAAATTCAAAGAGACTACGGAATCATTATCCAGCCAGTCAGAAGCGAGCACTACCTGTAGCACCCCCGTCAATAAAAACAAACATTCACGTGAAGGAAGCAGTAACACTCCACCAATCAGAAGGAACGGAGGAATTCTGCCAATCATCGACAACGAACCTCCTGGGGACTTACGTTATGTATTCTTCACCAAGAGTCCCAGCTCACTTGGATTCAACATTGCCGGTGGCAACGCAATGGGGATCTTTGTGTCGGAAATTCAACCTGACAACGAGGCTATAAGTTCTTCAGGACTCAGTGTCGGTGATCATATCTTGGAAGTAAGAAAAGCGACTGAATTATTTATTGAATATCCAACGTGTAAGAAAAACAAATTGAGGAAAAAACGGAAACGGTGCCATTTTTAAATTAAAACTTATTGGGAAAAAAATACAGAATCTAGCCACGGCGAGGCAGCATAGGGTCGGGTTCATTTTTGTGAAAACGTAGAATCGTGACTGTCACGCAACGGCTTTGCGTGTCAAGATGAATCAACGGCTGCGCAAAAGAACACAGCATTCAAACGTTGGGCATGGGATAGTGGGATCAATTCTGGCCGGGCGCACGAAAATTTTCCGCGCAAAATTTCAAAGTTAAACATTTTAAACAACCGCTGTCTCGCAGAACAAGCGCAATAAAATTAAAACTTTCCCAGAAATCTGTAAAAGGAAACATTATTTGTATGAGAAGAGTGATATTTCGTTGATGGTTTTTCGATTGATTATTTCTGAGTGTTTTTAATTGGATGTTTCTGTTTCAGTTCAATGGCGTAGATTTAACTTCGGTAACAGCAGAACAAGCCATGTTAGAGCTGTGTAAACCATCTGAGACTGTTCAAATACTGGCACAATATAACCCAGCGAGTGAGTAGTCAGTGTTATGATGTTGTAGGAAAGTAGTCCGGGATTACAATGGTTTCGCTCTAAGTTACTCTCTGATTGGTTAAGAATACTTACGCCAACCTTTCAACCATTCAGAACTCGACTTGGTTACCCGCGTTTTCCCGCCCTTCAAGTGGTTGACGCGTACAGTTTCTGAATTCCTATTGGTTCCTTGTGAGAATTCTCTTCACTTCGCTCTTGTGATTGTTCCACCTACCCCCATTAGCGACGCCCGGTGTTTTTCTAACTTTATTTTGATGTTGAATTTTTTTTCAGAATTCAATTCCCTTCGAGATCAGCCAGGAGATTCTTTCTACGTCAGGTGAGCTTTGAAATTATTGCTTTTGGAGATTTAAGAGCACTTGAAATCCTACAGGCCTCTTTTCTGTAATTGGTTAAATTACAGCTGATCAGCAATGACTGTAGCTTTACTTGATTCTAATCCGCAGGTCAAATGAAATTTATTAAATTTACAACTCGTGAGAGCCAAAGAGTATGCCAGCCTGTAAAAAGAGTTATTCTTTCGATCGTGTCTTTTTAGGGCTCTATTTGACCGTGCCACAAACACCAAAGGTGATTTGAACTTCAAGAAAGGAGATATTCTTTACGTTACTGACACAATGTTCAATGGTCACATGGGATGTTGGAGAGCTTGTCTTGTTAATGAAGAAGACGCACAGAGAAGAGAGATTGGAATGGTTCCGAGCCGGATGAAGTAAGTGAAGCATTAGCTGAAAAAATTTATGGTTTATTGTTGGCAGCATAGAAACTAAAGCGGAATGAAATGCGCGCGTAGCGGGGAAGAGCTGAGCAGGAATAGGGTCTGCGTGTTTTAGAAAGTTAATGCACGTGCGCGCGTGTTAAGCGTTAATCACGCTCTGTATTACGTTATCCGCTCTTTTGCGCGCTTTGCATTTCACGCTTTGCACATCATTAAACATTTCACATTTAGCATGTTATCCCTTCCCACTTAAAGTTGTGCGTGTTCTGGTTCCGTTTTATCCTTAGTTTAAATCTTTGTTTTGTAGTAATGTATAGTTACGAGTTTGAAAGACAGGAAAAATAATTTAAACTGCTTGATTTAGTGTCCACCACGCTAATCACTGGGCCATCGCTTCTCCCACAATGTGATATGCTTCGCAAAATTTATTTCTTTTATACTTTTTTATTCAGAGCCGAGCAGGAGATTCTGCTGCGTAGAAGCTTGGCGCTAGTTCACGGAGACGAGTATAAACTGAGTGGGAGGAGAAGTTTCTTTAGGCGAAGTAAGAAAGGAACCCATGGCTCGTCTGTCAATCATTCCCGTGAGGGCAGTGACTCTGCTACAAGCATTACAACCAGTTGTACAGGTATGACCGTGAGACTCGAAAGCGAAAACTCAAGCATTTATGTACAGGTATTCCAATGAAAATTCTATAAATGTTCCAATAACCAAGCCGAATAAACATCCAGTTAGGCATTAGGGTAGGTTTTCTACGAACAGAAATAACACCTTTAAGTGAGTGAAATTACAATACACACGAAATAACGGAGAACTTACCGACTGTTTCGAGTTTAGACTGACAATAACTCGACAATTTTGGTTAGCAAAATATATCAGAACAAATACGACGACAAGTTTTCTTTGGACAAGGCACATGGCTGATGTCCCGGATGTTGACGTCAAAATGTAGGCACGCAATGGGAGCTACACTTACAACTTTTAGCATTTTATTGGAGGTGATTAACTTTATTCTGTGATTGGCCCAGAATACTCGTACCGCCCTCTAAACCAATCAAACTTAGCACTAAAAGCAAACGCGAGTTGTTCAGCCGCGTTTTCCCGCGCTTCAAGTAGTTCACGTGTTTTCATATTGAGCTCTTATTGGCTCCTTATGATAATGCTCTTCGTTCTGATTGGCCCCTGGGATTGAATGACTTTCGCTTGTGGTTTTGGGTTTACGATACGCAAGCCATATGCTCTTTTTGAAATGGGGGTAACTTTTTCTTTCCAAATTTTTCTTTCAGATCTTGGTATAGCTTCTTACCAGACAGTGGAAAAACTAGACAGTAAGTGCAAGCCAGTGTAGAATTACTTAGACTAGCAGTACCAAACATTTTGCTATCCTGTATGAGTATTGAAGGGTAATGTTAGAGTTGTGTTTGGATGAAGCTTTTGGGCGCGACAGCTACTGGAAAGCCAACAACATGACCAGCAGCACAGGACAACCAGCTCAAGTTAAAAAGCACAGATGACACACATCAGTCGATGTGAAGTGTCAAACGTGAATGCTGAAGCCACGAAACCATAAAAGAGGAACTAGGCAGCAAAATTAAAGTTCAGATTTAAACTTTCTAAACTAGCTGCTCTTGATTCAGTTGATCACATGTGTTTTCACTTCCAGAGAGCGTGTACCACTGTTACTACCTAAATACTTAAAAAATGCCGCGTTTGAATTTTAGGTCATATCCCAAGAGCTGTGATTTTGTTCGGCCCGTTAGTGGATGCGTTGTACGAGAAACTCTGCGAAGAAGTCCCTTACAAGTTCGTCCAGTGCAAACCGGGTCAGTTTATTTTCCTTGTGGATTCATTTTCTAATTTCTCTCTTACTTGCTCTAATCATTAGTAAGTTAAAAGCTGATGAGAATGCAAGGCATAATCGCATAAAGGGTATAGAAGTTGGTATTGAAGTGGAAAACATTCCCTTGATCTCGTCTTAAAGGCGCTCTGTGATTGGTCCACTGAGAAAACTCGTGCTAACCACTCAACCAATCAGATGCAAAGTTAAAACTGCCCGCGACACGGTTGCACGCGTTTTCCCGCGCTTCACTCTGAGTTTCCATCGGCTCATAATGATATTTTCCTTCCCTCCGATTGGCTTTGTAGTAACTCTGGTTTGCGTTTCACGGCACTCAACCAAAAAGCGCCTGGGCCATTCTGACCGGTGTTTGTAACTGTTTATTTCAGAAATTGTCAACTTGCCAGAGGAGAAGGTCGAAAAAGGAATTGCAGATGGCACATTTGTCGATTACGCTTGGAAAGGTCACCAGCTGTCCTGTACCACAATGGCTTCCATCAAACAAGTCACTGACAAGGTAACAGAAAGTCAAACTGCTTAGTTTACGGGGGGAGGGGTAGGCAGGTTTTTCCATGGGTGGCGTGGGTTTGAGGTCTTAGACCACCTTCCTGTTCAAATTAAGCAGCACACGGGGATGCCATGGATTAGCATGACTATTTTTCAAATTAGAGAGAGGGAGGGAGGGGTGGTAATTACATGCCCCCTTAGCTGCACCCTCGTTTTCTGAGGTTGAATCTTCAATATTTTGATCAAGATCGAATTTCCCTTTTCGACATTTACGATGATAACGCAGATGAATGACGAGAATGTAAGAATTAAATAACCAGTTTATCGCTTTTGCTCCAATGTATCATCTCGGGGTGGGTAATTTTCGTGAGAGAATTTCCACGCTTTGTCTCACCATGTGCTCGGCTTGGCAACCCAAATGCATTAAAAAACGAGACGCGTATTTTCCAAGCGACGGTTTTTAAGATGTCACGCAACAAAGACGATATAGGCGACGAGGACAACGCAGATCGTTGCGTGACATCCCATTATTGTCCCTCCTAGCCGTTTTTGTGATGTCACGCAACGTCTTACGACGACGAAGACAACGTGGGTCGTTGGGTGACGATCCCCAATACGTCTGTTAAGGGTAGTGATTGGCCGAGGAATGTCTCTTGACTCGTAATTAACCTGACCTTATTTCCTTATGTTTCTCAGCACTGTTTATTGGATGTCAGTCCGACAGCGGTAGAACGGCTACATGCCTTACAAGTCTATCCCATCATCTTGTTCGTTAAATTCAAATCACCTAAACACATCAGGTAAGCTGTGCTTCCTGAGCAAGTTTTCACTAAATTTTACAATATCAATAGAAATGCACTCTAGGCGATTATTTTAACCGAGGATACTATCGCTTTTTCGTCGCATAAACGCAACCCAAATTTCGTGACGTTTCGTTGGAAGAGACCTGGCATTTATTAGAGAAAAGTGGGCTGATACAATGTTTTTCCACCTTTTGTATTTTTTCTTCTATGCCCTTCCAAAATTTCTACCGAAAAAACTTTAAGGGCCCCCCCCCCTCCACCCCCCATACCTGGTGCTATCTGAAAAAGACGTAGCCCTCCTAAAAGGCCTTGCAACCCTCCCCTTTTTGATAACCTCCGTTCATCGACACCAGCCCGCTTTCCTCCCCTCCCTTCTGTAGATGAAATCTTTCAATCCTCAAGAGGCTGAAAAATAACAGTGATCCCATTGTGTACATTGCAAGCTGTGAAGTTGATCCAAGCATTTGTCTCTCTCTTTGTAAACAGAGATCACAAAGACGGTCGGTACGTTAGAGAGAAGATGAGTCTTCGACACGCTAAGGAACTATTCGAATCTTCTGGTAAAATGGAACGAGAATTGAAGCACTTATTTAATGGTAAGTATAGTGTGAGGCGCATTTCCTTTCTTTCCTGAAATAATTTTTGAAAAGCGGCAAGGTGTGGCTGTTTTGATAGCGCGTGTAACAGTCGATTGGGTTCGTTGTGAGCGTGGATAAAAAAACACGTATTTCTTTTCAATACTGTATTTTCATTTTTCTTCGCGTGGTGCATGTATCTTACTTCCTTTGTGTTGATTTTCTAGGTACCGTACATGGAAGCAACCTTAGCAACGTTTGTTCCCAGATTCAAGAGATGGTGGACGAGCAACAGAAGAAGACAGTCTGGGTACCACTCTCCAGTGTCTAATTATCACATGATCCAATGAGTTGTAACCATGGCTACAATTACGTTAAAAATAGCCGACCAAAGTCTTTTTTCAATTTTTTAAAATCTTCCTGTACCTTGGTTTTTAAGATTTTTTTGATCACCCCGGCACTGTTCTGGATAATTCATACGCATGAAATGGTACTGAGGATTTAGAAGTTGATTAGGTATGGGGCTGATAGGTTTTTTAACGTAACGTGATAAAAACATTGGAAAATTACTTTTTTGCCCGTCAACCGAATTTTCCCCAACGAACTTGTCTAGTCCAAAAAAATTATAAGAAATAGATTTGCTTGCTTTGCTCTTCATTATTAAGTGTTATGGTACTTGATCTCTGTGATCTCACTTTTAAAGAACAAGTACATAAAAAAAACCATCTGCCTTACGGCTTACTCTCGGAGAATGATCTCATTTACTGAAAACGCAAAAGATTCCGCAAGTGGAAACTTTTCTCCTCCCCAGCAGGCTGGGTAGGAATCGTTGTAAATAAGCTTCATGTAAATTCACTCAACTGTACACAGATTCGCTCCAGCTTTTCTTTCCTTCTTAAATGTTAGTTGAGGTGAGATTTGATGAGATGTGCATGCTCTGCGAATCAGCGTTTTAAAGGTTGGGTGACCAGTCAAAAGTTTTTTCAAATGCTTGAGTTTTAAATAGTAATTTATGATGTAAGCTTTGCTTTGTAGATTCCCAATTAAAAAAATATTTTTCAAATACTTTTTCTTTTTTTATTTTTCTCTTTGAATTTATGAAGAATTCAAGACTGATTTTATGATGCAATTCAGTTGGTTTTGGTTAAATTTTTTGTGTACAACCCTGACAGACAAATCAGAGCTTTTCAAAAGTCCTCATGAGTACTTTTTCCTTTTTGTTTTAACGCATAGCATTAAAATATGTGGCCAAATTTCGTTAAGGGGGCACACTTCTCTCATGTTTCACTGTTGTTTCAACTGTGATTCAATCCATTTAAGTGAAGCCTTTGGTTTGCCAGAACTAAAAATGTGTTGGTATTTAAGTACAATGATCTTGACTAGAATTGCTAGTATACTACAAAAACATTTCAACCTTAAGTTCTATGACACATTCCCTGTATTTCTTTATTGCTTTGACTCATACCCAGGAAGAAAAGTTGAATTGCAAGATTGTAAAATTCTTGCCTTTTTTCAACAATTCCTCTGAGGTATTGGAGGAAAAAGAATAACAAGGCCTATCTTAGGTCTACATGCAGAGACAAAGGTAAAAATAACAAAAACTCCAAGAGATGGAAGTCATATCATGTAGAGAATCTTGGACTCCACTGACACTTCCACGATTCACCCATTGGCCATGTTATATGCAAAACCAATCTGACAGCTCTTCATGTTCAACCAATTAAATAATTTTTAATTGAGACTTTCCCTTGTCAAACTATCAATTCAAGCTAATTCAAACCCTCCATCCAATTTCATTTGAACACAAAATTAATTTGTGTCTCAAACTACCTTAATCTATGGCTGGTGTTTTCTTTTACCTGTATATTTCATACAACCAAAGTATTTTCTTCATAATTATTTTGATTTAAATGTCTTCAGTGTGGCTGTGTACATTGAGAACAGCTGAGGTGGAGGAGCCTCCAAGGCCATTGGAGTTCTCATTTAAAATTGGTGGTCCAATCACACCAGCTTCCCTAGCTTGATGGACCTGAATGAATTTAAAAAGAAATATTCAGTGTGTGCAACAAAAATTATTAAAACTTAATCAAAAGTAGAAATAGGAGTGCCCAATCCACTTCTTAGCTGGATTATTTGAAAACTAATCAATCACATAAAACCATAACATTAGGTAAAACATAATTCCTATCATGAAATAAGAACTACCTAACCCACCCTTCTTGCCCTTTTTGTGAATCCCTGAGTTGTCTCTGACATTTTCACTCACAGTACTAGAGAGGGGCTAAATTATTGAGCCCCCATCCCTCACATGAGAGGAGATTTTATTGCTGCACCCCCATACCCATGGTAGTTTTGTCAGTTCCAGAGAGAGGCAGTGCAATAATTGACATGACACATGTATGAGAAGTTGGTGCAAACAAAAATGTTAGTCCCGTATTGACCTTCCACCCAGTAAATAATGCACTATGCATATTGCGCACTGCTGGATCAGCAAAGCACCATGCAAGCAAATCACCACCTAAACAGAGGAACAAGAACAGCCAGTCTTGAGCAAAATCATTCTATTCCATTTGCATCCTTTGATGTGGGTTCTCTTCCAACTTATATTGAAAAGCGTGTCAGCTAAAAAATAAGATTATGTTATGGTAATTGTCTGCAAGCAAGTACCTCACATAAGAATCTTGCAATTCCATCAAAGTACCCATAACACTGCCATGTTTCATTGTGTGTTCCACGATCAAAGCATTCCATTTTCTTAAGACAGGATCCTGATGTCTGTTAAAGTATAACAAAATGTTTAGTTGACATCTAATTCCACTTCAAAAAAGCTACAAAAATCACAACTCTTTTGTGTGTCCCATAAACTTTTAGAAACATGTTGGACTTTCTTGCAATTTTATGACAAAAAATTTTACTGGTACTGTGAAGAGAAGATCATGGTTGATCAAAACAAACCTTGTAAAGGCTTGTCATCATTCTTGGAGGGATAAGTTGATCAGCCAATCCAGACAGAAAAAGGGTTGGAACTTTTGACTTACGGATCTTCTTCAAGGAATCAAACTGTAAGGCATAAATGTCAAACAGTATAAAAATTAAATAAACGTTGAAGGAAATTCTAGTGCTTTATCTGTAGGGTTATTGCATGATAATTCAGTTTGGTTAACATTTCAAGCATTTACTCTTGGTCAGAGCTAAAGACCATGCATGAAGTGCCTGGGCTATAAATCTGAGGGAAAAAATTAGGTAGAAACTGAGAACATGAGTTTGGTAATATATTTATTATGTCTCTGGGTTCAAATAGAGGGGTAAGATTTCAGTTCAAACAGACTTTAACCCTTTAAACCCCAGAAGTGATTAACATGTAACTTCTCCCTATAATTTCCAAACATTTCCCAGCAAAACAGGTTATAAGAATACTCAAACTTATCCAGGGCATGAAATTGCACCTAATACAGGCGCCAATGCGACTAAATTTTTCACTTTGGCAACCAAATCCTGAAAGTTAGTTGCCAAATTGGCGACTAGAACGTTTCATCATAACCTTACCAAGAGATATAGTGAATTAAAAAAAATTGCAAAGATAAATCCGCGGCAAACTTCCTCGTTAAGTTTGTTTCCAAAACGTAGCACATGCATCTCGATCGATAACTAGACGCCATCTTGAATTTAGATGAGCCTGAACGTTTTATATCATCCATCCTAGTGTCCACTTTGTAGCACGTTAAAGATCTTTTCCCTAACTTAATTTTGGAGGGTCTATCTAGAATGCTGACAGCGTAAAGAAAGATTTTGTTTGTATTTGAAAATGGCAACTAACTTTTTTTGAATTGGCTACCACTTTGAAAAATTTAGGAGCCAGGTGTCTATCAGAAAAAAAAGTTAATTTCACGCCCTGTTATCAGGGAGAAGTTGTTACCCTGATCAAACACCAAATTCTTGTAACTAATTTACAGGGAAATGTGTGGCAGCCAGAAGGGAGAATTAATAATCAGATCTTGGGAATTAAAGGGTAAATAAGGCATACAGTGAAATACGGCCTGCTCAGTTGACCAATCATAGCACACATTCTAACTAAGAGATATAACAAAGGTTGTTACTCCTTGGCTAAAAACCATTTTTTAAATTACCTTGTTTCTAAAACAGAAGTAAGGTAGTTTACCAAGGCCATTAACAAGTTGATTTGCCATGCCTGGAATACTTGTAAAAGTGTTCTCCACAATCAAAGCAAATGCTTTGTCCAAATAAAGTTCATTTGACGCTAGAGCAATAGCCACAGCCCCACCCAATGAACGTCCAAATATAACAATCTTATTTGTGTCTATATCAGTCCGCGACAACAGATAAGAAAAGGCAGCTTCTGAATCCAACTCAAACCCTGCGATGAAAAAAGAATTACACACAGCATTTAACCCTTTAATTATCTTCCATGAGTGATCAAGGCAGAATTTCTCCTTACAACATCAATACAATATTAAGCAGACAAGAAATGAGAATAACGATGAACATCACTTAAGGGGATTATTTGCTGACCCAATAGCAAATTCTCTGAAGTAACATGAGAAGAATTGTATGGAAGACAGTAAGAAGAATTACTGATGAGATCTGCAAGTGAAGGGGTTAAAGATTACTTGTGCTTGTAAAACAGTAACCTGTTAGGTATAAAAAAAATTCACACATGGAAAATCAACCCATCAAAGGAAATACACACACATGTGTCTCATGAAACTACAACTTAAAAAAAGAAGTAATTCTCCTTGGTGCCACAGAGGAAATGTGTGAAGAGTATTGAGAGAATATGGATACTGATATTAGGGTGTAAAAGGTTAAATGGAGTAAGATTCTAAAGAAACTGTAGTGTTACATCAGTGGGGGTACTATGAAATGTTTGTTTTTTTTAATTTATTGATAATATTGTATTAGCCACTGTAAAGAGTTTCTAAAGATGACATCTTCAGCATTAGGCCTTCATCAGAGCAGAGGGCTAAACATCAGCTTTAGAAACTCTTAACGGTGGTAGATACACATTATCAACTCCCTTACCATATTCACTGGGAGAGCCTTCACTTTTTCCATACCCTCTGTACTCCACCAACAACACATTACAACCACAGTAATTATGCCAGCTCTTTGCGTTAATTAGTCTGTGGCCAACATTTCCCGCATTTCCATGAAAAAACAACACGGTTGGAACAGAGCTCTGAAACTGAGGCGGTTGTTTTATAAATATAGCATTAATATTCACGCCATCTTGCGTCTTGATGAACAAATTCTCGAATGGTAAACCCAGAATAGCGGGGTTCTGAACGTACACTCTTGCTGTGACAGGTTGTTCCGGGAAGTAAAGCAAAGTGTCTTGATAATGGTATAAGGCACCAAACACTGCTGCTGTTAACAGCAAAAAGCTAACAACTCCTCCGTATAACCAATAAAGAAGAAGAAGAGTTAACATAGCCGCACTGCACGCTCTCCAAAACCGAAGAATGAGATGCAGAACAAGTTTGCCAATGCTCTCGATCGTTTTAAATCCAGTGTGTTCAATAGATTTCTTAGTTCTTGGCATCGTTGAATCAGCTTCAGACATCAGGAATATGCTTTCAACTTTGAAACGTGGCCTTATCAATTTCAATAACAACAAATAAATATGCAAACTTCACACAAAATCCTAGCCACACAAATTAATTTTTATGTGGAAAACGGGTGAGTTTTAGGCAAGATGATGCGTAAAATTTCCTCAGCCATACACACAAAATACTTGATCATGGTTTATCTTGCTTTTTGCGGATCATTCAAGGTAAGAAAAAGAAAAACTTTGGACACTTCCCGAAAATGAAGGACTCCCCGAAGTCGCCATGTTTTTCGCTCGTCTATGGAACCCAGGACATATCGTGTACTACGAGAAAGATTGGACACTAAGCGAGATCACCAGGTTACCAAGGTAGCAACGCATAAATACTGACATCCGTAAAATTGAACATATCATGAACAATTTTGTGTGTTAAAAATTTGGTGAGAAAACGAGAGATATGAGTTCCCACGAAGACGACGAGGAAGAAG